TTCTCCTGGGGTGTGGGTTCCTGCAGATGTTTCCAGAGCCATCTCTGGGTACTTTGGCCTTGAGCACCCAGCAAGGACTTTGTCTCTGGGTACCCAGCAGGTACAAGGGACATCGGAGCAGCTGCCGAGTTGCCACTTGGCTGCAAGCCCATGCCTACTGCTCACCCAAAACTCAGTTCCTAAAGACATTTAGCTGGATTAGATGTATCCATTGCTTGTGCCAACTCACCCCCCGCCCCCGTCTCCATTTGGAAGGAAAGCCATGCTGTGTTCATGCATAGAGACCCAAGGATACTTGGCTTCTTCACTCCTTGGGGAACCACATGGACAGACCCTAGGTCTGCCTAGCCCAGCATCCCATCTCCCATGGCTCTAAAGAGAAGGTCGGCAATAGGCAATGCTTCCTCAGTAGGTTGCCGTATCTCTGCTGCCCATGCTGTCCTCTCCTGAACCTGTCCCAATCCTGCTTTATCCATTCTGGGATAAATCCCAGCATCCCCAAAGTGGGAACTCCATGGGCACACAGATTCCTGCTCGCCGCTGCCGAAGCAGCAGCAAAGCCCCGCTTGCCCCACACGAGCCCGGAGAAGGCAGTGCCAGTGGGCGACCCCAGCTCGCTCAGTGACTGAGCAGGCTGCGAAACCATCTCCCACCCACGCGAACAAATCTGAAGTTTTCAGGAGAACAGCGACACATCCAGCTCCTTTATACAGGTTCAGGGAGCATTGCCAAGATCCCCGCTCGCTGTTCCTCGCTGGCTCCCTATGCTGCACCTGCATGGCAGAAACCCCCTGGCTGCACAGAGGGACTTGGGGGAACACGCAGAGCTGCTAGGGGGACATTCGTCTCACAGCCCTCTTTATCCAGGGCCATAAATCAAGGCAAAGAAGGGCAGAGCAGTGAGGAGAGAAATGGAGTCTACACCCATAGCCTCTTGGTCCAACCACGAGGGCATCCCAGATGGTTTACGTCCCTGCAGCCCTGGTATGGAGCAGTAAGGGAACAGGCAGGTCCCTGCTCTGTTCCCGTGCCTGGAGTCACTGGTGTCCCAGCCTGTGTGGCCACATCTGCACCATCTGAACATCTCTTTGGCTTCACTTCATTGTGTGGCCTAGAGCAGGGCTGGGGACAGGGGAGACTGAAACCCAACCCAGCACCACGGGTGGGAAACCTACCACAGCAGCTGCAGCACCGGTGGGGGAAGCAGGACAGCAACATTTCTGGAGCAAGGCCCCTGCAACCAACTAGGTTTCCAGGGAAAAACCAAGTCCAGGGATCTCTGCACCTGCCTCAGGGAACAGAGGATTCTGGTTTCCCTTACCCTGCATGGGGCTGATCCCACTGCCACCCTCACAAGTAAATCACTGAACATGAGCTCTGTACTGCAGGAGCAGCAAGTAGGGAGGGGTGGCAAAAGCTCTAATTTTACATACAGCAGCCAAGAATTTTGGTATTAACGTTCCCACAGCAACGGTAACTTAGCCACATGTGAATTAAGTTCAGAGCCGTTATCCCCACTCAGACGTCGATAATACAGGATTTGCAGTCAGGAGAACTTTGGACCAGGCTGCACCATCTCTTAGTTGAGCAAGATGCTGGTGGAAACCACACAACAAGATAACAGCAGCCAGGAAGGACACAACAGGGTCAGGGTACCACATGCTGCAAGGACTTTGGGGGTGCAAAGACTTTAGGGGGATGCTACTGGGTGGGAATAGGTCTGCCTGCTGGCAAACCGCTGCCCAGCAGTGCACGGGCAGAAAGGGATGAGAAGCAAGTGCAGGGCCATGAGGCAGGCTTGGTTCTCCCCAGGCAACACCCCCAAATCCCGGAGGATGGCCCAGAGAGATGCAGGGCACCCTGCACCCAGCCACTGGGTATCCCTGCCTTGAGGGCCCACCAGGCAGCAGGAAGCACCAGCCCCATGCAGAGACATCTGGGCAGTCCTGCATCACCAGTCCCTCATTTTGCTCCTTCCTGTATCTCCTTAAAACATCTCTGACCAGTTCAGAAGAGGCGGCAAAGCCCGGATGATGCCTCCATGTGGAGGAAAGCAACAACCAAAGCAGTTGTTCCCACCCGGAGCATTCGCTCTTGGCACCCCAGCAGCGTGATCGCCTCCGAGAACAGAGCCTACAGTGTCATTTCCCCGTTGCACAGGCCCCAGGCCACTTCCTCCCCTGCAGTCACAGGGTTGTGTGAGCTGGCAGCTCAGCGCAGCGGCTCCTCCGCACCAGCCTACGCCCAGGATCCAGGGCTATGCAGCCAGCGTTGGCCCTTCGCTGCTTTGAGAGATCCTCCTCCCCCGTCTCCGTGAGTCCCTGATGAGCCTCCCCTGCATGCTTGGAGGCTGCATGCGCTCCACTTTCCATAGCATCTCCAGGCACTGGCTTTCTAGGATGCTGCTCCCTCAGCCCTGCCTGCAGACCTGAACTTTCCCATCTTGAGATCCAGATGTCACTCCTTGTTCTCAATGTTCATATCTGACCCGACGAACACTCTGGGCTAGACAGCCAGGAACTTCAGGCCACCTGGATTGTGCCTCTGCCACCAACCTCCACACAGTTCCACACTTCCCACTGGGAAGAGAGAAGCCACCAGTTGGCTTCAAGGTTGGAAGACCGTGAAAGGTCTGGAGGTTTGGCAATGAGCCAAACCCAAGGAAGTCCTCAGGTTTGACCACAACATTGCGGGAAAGAGGGAAAACAGAGCAAGGAGGGACTCCACTGAGATGTTTGAAAGAGGACAAGAACAAGCAGAGAAAGCAACTATTTGCCTGATCCTGTGCTGGTAGGACAGATGCATATGGTGGCCGGATGTGGCACATCTGCAGACAAAACAGTTTAGTTTCAAGCTCATAATGCATCTTGATTCATTTGTGGCAATATTTTAGCTCTTCCTCATCAGGAAATCGAAGGAGAAGAGAACGTAAAGCCTAGACCCAAGAGAAGAAACCTCGTTCAAGGTCACTGTTTTATCTCCTAGGCCACAGCAGGCAGGGCCACCCCAGGGAACCAGGTCATGTCCTTGGGGAGCTCACTCTGCACCCACACAGGGGCATCCCCTTCAAAGTCCCAGGGAGCCCTGGTCTCCTGCACCGAGTGCAGCCACTGGCCAGCCCGCTGCAGGACACAACCACACAGCATCTCTCTGCACCTGCTCTTCTCGCTCAACACACACAGATGGCCTCCACCACGGGGAGCAGGGACACGAGCAAAGCCAGTCCCACAGCCTGGGGCTGCAGCAATACCCCACCAGCAGTCCAAAGCATATCTTCTGCCCCAGCTTCTGGGGGACACTTTTCTATGGTGGTTTCTTGCAGCAGAGAGGGGAGGTAGGAGCTGCACCTGGCTGGCTGCTCTTACCCCACTGCTGGGTGGCCAGCACAAGAGGTGATGTGGGCCCGGAGTGCCCCACAGGAGCTGAAGCCCATACTTGGACCTGGACTCAAGCTGCCAGGACAAGATCTCGGCACCACCATGTCTTTCCCTGGCCAGCAGTGGTGAGCTGGAATAAATGGCCTCCAGCCCTGCTGAGGGACTCCTTGCTGGGCATCTCTGCTTAGCTGCTCTTCTCCTGGATGGTCCCTCCTCTGCACCAGACCTCATGGGGAAAGGAACCAAGTTGTCCCCAGGCAGCACACTCAAGGCCGCCCCCAGAGAGCCCTGCCACGCACTGGAACCAAGCTCAGCTGTCACCGTGTGGCAGAAAGCAGAGGGGGACATGGTGCAGGTTTGTGCCAGGCTGCTGCGGTCCTCTCTGGAGCGGCGCAGCCAGGAAGGGCTGGATGCCAGGCAGGCTCCCAGAGCCCTGGCTCTGCGCGGTGACATTCAGTGACACCCCTTGCCCTGGCCATCCGGGCGGGACAGGGTCAGGTGCTACCACCATAGCTCTCCAGGCCTCCTCCCCCGCGGGTGTCGCCTGCTCCGCCACCCCGCTCCCCCGTCCCCAAAGGCGGGATGCGGGTCCTCCCTGCAGCCCGGCGCGCGGCGGCACTCACCGATCTTGGCCAGGCTGGCCACGAGGGTCCCGGCGGCCACCCGAGAGGGGAC